CCCCCGTCACAGCACCAGATCTTACCCACATAGCATTTGCCCAAGCTTCACGCCAGTATCCAGGAAGATGGGCATGAATCCTGGAGAATAGTAGCGTTATTTTTGGATGGTACTAACAGTATGTATATCCAGTCGGAATAGAAGTGGCACCCCGCTCCACTTCGCTTCGGACAACAAGTCCGCACATCCGCGTATGTCTGGTTCCATCTGATTTCTTGTCCAATATGCCCCGCTAAGACTTCAGATTATGGTTTGGGTAAGCGTATTTCAAATTCGGTGACGGGCATAGATTGCCCATCCTGTCATTGCGTGGGTAGATCTCGCAACGATGTAGCTTAGCGAGACCCTGGGCAAAACGAAGATATGGGAATTCGCGAGCCCGGTTGGGTCGGAATCGAGCGGATTATCCAACCAAAACGATTACTAGTCTTGCATTGAGATTCATGATGATGACGTGATATGTTGTAGTTGAAGACACGGCTTCCCCACTGGCTGCTCAGATGGTCAATTTGCGAGACAAAATGCCCAGTCATTTTGATGGGTTTTCACCGCCCATCAAAACTTGACCAACCCAAACCCCTGGGCGGCCCCACGACACCAGCAACATATTCTAAGGAGGCACTGACCAGCCTTCACAACCAATCATTTCTCAAAATGTGACGTTAACCCTTTGTATTGCCTGATCCTGATCGAGGTCTACTGTAAGATCCAGCTGGGGAGCCGGATGACCTGCAGACCAGGGGAAGGGCAAGTGAGGTCGGAAAAAAAATGGAGGAAAAATGGTGAGAGTATACACATGTTGGGTATGCCAGTCTTTTCACCGCCTCTGGTCAGTCTCGGGGTCGATTATTGCTGCCTTAGGCCATAACATGTTGTAGTTCTCAGGATGGCTGGGGACTAGGATTTTTTTAGAAAGCTTTTCAGGGAGAGCAACGTGATGCCCGCCTGGGAATCCAAACGCACACTAAACGAAAATTACGGCATCGATTTTAATTGCCCGAAATTACCAGACCAGAGGGCTTTACCCCCGGGATGGATGGTTATGCATATCAATGGTCTTTGTACATGAAGGGTTAATGATATATATGTACAACGACGAATGCTATCTACACCAGCGCGTCGAGCACAACCGGCTTTTTACCTTTCTAAGAGACAGTCCAAAATTAACAGATGCGCCAATCTAGATACAATTGCCCATTCGAAGGTAATTGTGGTCAACGACTGATTAACGGGTTGATATGATTTACTCCACCTCTCCACTTTCGAAATCTCAGGTTGAGCATTGCCGTGCTGGGCATAAAAGTTTGCCAAGATAAATGCCGATGAGTAATTCATCCTGCCAGCAGCATTCCATGTCGGACAACAATGACATTTCCCAGATAGTATTAGGAGAACAATTGCGAGCCATGCAAAGTTTGGATTCTCCCACTCATGATGTTCTCTAAGGCTGCTTTCATGCACACGCATCGGCAGCACGCCGATACAGTATTGGCATTCCGGCATTTCAGCATTCTTCAACAGCGTCTGTGGCAGGTGCCAGTTGCACCATTTCAACAGGTCATGTACTGGAGGAAACGACAGGGGGAGAGGTATGTCAAAGTTCACGGGAGTACTGTAGGTGGAATCAATAGAGTAGTCTCAGAAGAACTCAGAATCCTACACTATGCAGTGGCTGTATGAAGGAGTCTACTTTCATCCAAGATTGAGTCTGATACTGTATACAAGGGTGATAATTGAACTACACTATTGGTAGCTGTTTCGCCCTCATTGAATCAAGCCTCAAGCGTACGAGAATTGAATGGACAACCCCCAAGAAAGTGTGCCTTGTCGGCCAATCAGCATCTCCCCCATCCTGAACCTTGATGACAGCATCTCCCGTACTTCTCCCCTAGATCTTGCTATTCGGTATGTCAATCCTCAGGCAATTGATAGACTTGGTTCTAGCACCTTAAGCCCTTCCATCATACCTTGCACCAGTAGCCTGACATGCACGAACCCAGGGACCCATCACTTCTACATTTTTCTTTATATCTCAAGAGACGGTCCGCTGGTGTTTCGGCCAGGGGGTTGGCTAGAACCGCAGCGAACAGAACCATGGCAATAAATACATGGAATTTCATGTTGTGCGATGCCTTCTGCACCGAGGGTGCTTAAAATAGAGAATGATACAATCGTACGGTAAGCTTAGTCGATGATTTTCGTCCTCGTCAAGCGAGGAGAGGGATGAAAGAGGAATGGCCAGTATTTATACTCGTCAAATCGATCTCAAATTGCTTATTCAAACCATCTTCCCTGTTTCAAATACTGTCAGCCAACAATAGAAGGGTCGATGGACCGCAGTATCAACCAAAAAGCTGGATTATAAATGCCTCATAGCGGCGATTGATATGTAGTCCCCGTTTTCTTGATGCGACGGCCGAAAAGCCCTGAGATCCAGCTGAGTGTCCCATCTTCCTTACTCTCAGGTCAGAACTCTACGGAAGGAGGTGAAACAGCATTAGTTGCACTCGATACGTTCACCGGGGCATACACCAATATATATGCACTATGTACCTATCTTCTCGAGTTTGAACATGTCGTGGTGGCGCAAAGAGACCAGAGTTCGACATGAGTTTTGAGTTGGCTCTCGCACGCATATTTGGCCTGGTTGATTGTGAGAGTCGCCATAGTTGTTTTACTTCAGCCAGTTATCACTTGCGCCAAGGCTCCTTGTTTCCATTTTCATGATATCTTGAATGTGTTGATCACTTCTCGCCCGTCGGGCATATTTGCTGCGGTCAATTTATTGTCAGTCGAGAAAGGATATGGCGGCGGCCGCTGGATGATTATCAGCGAATCCTTCAACAATAGGCCCCACAGAAGCTACGGACAGCTACGGGATAGACCTGTGATGGAGAGAATTTCGCATATCATATTTGGGAAAGATCCGGTGCAGCCTGGATGTGAATCATCTACGCAAACGTAGCCGAACGCGACGACATCGGCGCCAATACCAGTAGGGCCGGCGTAGGGTAGATCAGAATCATACGGACAGAGGACAAGGTTGTGCTTTCCTGCCTGCATATGCTTAGGGTCACTCTCGTTTCGAAAACAGCCTGGCACGGAATGACGAATCATCGTTTATGGGTCTTGTGGGTCAAAGTTCGACCAGGTAAGGTTTGTGTCTTGAGAGCTACGGTGTAGAAATAAGGCACAATTTTGCAATTTCAGGCTCGTATCGCTCGTGTCTCGGGGATTGCGCAAGCTTCCTTTTCCCTGTCCTAGTCCAGCGGAAAGAGAGGTCGAAAACTGATCAAAATTGATCGATTCTGAGTACCGTATCCCAGCATTTGTAAATTACAAAGCCTAACTTGCTGCCGAAGCGCCCAAGGTCTATGTGCAGTGATTTGAATTTTCTGCCATTCTCTTGGCACAATGTTCAATATTGACTTCTACGTAAGAAGAGATACGACCAGCTAGTACTTTTCAACATCAATGGTCTGATGGCAAACATGACCACGGCGATGCCCCAAGGTTTGAGATAATGACACAGTAGGGGCTTGTGTATTGACAATGGTAGTGATAATCAAGTTAATTGCTTCTTTACCTTAGAGAATCTCTATCAGCGTGTGGACAGCCAAGCATGCGCCTGACCCTGTCAAACCTGTCTGGAAAGTTAATAGCCAGAGTGACGGAAAACTGTAAGTGTTGGTGCTTTTGCCCACTCTTTTGCTCAAAACGCCCATTCACCCACGATGTTTACCCGGAGTCGGTTATGCCGCACAGATGTTTTGAAAGGTCAACCACGTGGCTTTTGCTTCAAAGGGACCGTCAATTGCGCCCTCCAAATCTCTCTCGAAAACCAGCAAGGTGCAGGAAACGATTGCCGACCCATCGACAAACGATGCTAAACGGCATACCTATATAGCTGCTAGGAACTCCTTTGCATGCTTCCTGCCGCCTCAGTCGCTGCGAAATCCTAGTCATCCTTTTTCAAGAACCGTGCTTGTTCTTCCAAGCTAAACACTGCTACTGTACCTATTGATCTCCTGAATCAGTCATCAATGAAGATGTCTCGCGCCGCCATGCATTGTCCAAGCACCCCAGCCACGCCTCTGGGAAGCAGCACGCTAGAGGATGCAGCTTCCTCCTCGGGGTCTTCATCTCCTTTGATTTGCTCCTGCAGCACATCGCCACCACTCGGAGAACCAACTCATCCGGTCAACCTCGCTCCGGAGCCGGAGTTGTGTTCTCTTACCACACTTGTAGAACGATTCTTAGTGACGCTGAGTATCCTCTCGGCCACGTCACTCCATGTTGAAGCCATGGCCATCACTCCAAATGACTCTCGGGTAACTCGACATTGGCTGCTGATTGACATGGTCTGCCATCGGCTTTTTGCCATGCTTCCAAACCAGGGTGCCATCCGCAAGCTCAGCACGTCGTATTACAAACCTGTTGATCCAGGGGAAGTGCTAGTTGTCAATGAACGCCCAGTCACTCAGGGGTAGTTGCGTTGGTGCGAGGCCACCATAACTAAGGGAGACATGCTGATAGCCATTGTCACCGCCGTCTATGATGGGCCCCATATGGAAACGATGGGTGAGACCTGTCTTCAGGGATCAGATGACTTCTTGAGTTGATTCGACAGATTGACGACTATATCTCCCATACTTGAGCATACTGGTGGCATTTCTGACTGGTGGCATTTCTGAATGGCGGGCAGCTAGCCAGGTATTACTCTGGCTATTATATGTTTTGTATTTTTGTATCTATATGCTTGTTTCTGCCGATAGGTATACATAAAATTCTTTCGCGCGTACCATTGAAATAAGATGTGGTGTGTGTGCTGCAATCTATGAGTCTATTTGTTTTCTGGCGTGCGTGATTTATTGCGCGCTATCAAAGACTCAGCATGATCCTGACTTCTCAGTTCGTCGCTAAAGCTACTGAAACAACTCTTGGCCGCAGTGTCGGATAGCGACAATATCAGTAGTAATAGCCGGGAGTCAAGTCGTTGTTCAACTGCTTACAGGATGAACGCGAACCGAGGCTGAGGCTGAACCTCCTCCGATAGCCATTAACCCAGTCATATCTTGGTCAACATCATGGCTGCCATCCTGCTGTGCCCGCTCCTCTCCGCGTCCCTCCCGCTGGCGCAGCACTTTGGTCAACAGGATCTCAATCGACTCTGATTGTTGGCCTCCAGTCCCGCGATCCTTAAGAAGTTGATCGATCACAGCACCCATTTGCTGGCATGTCTCATATAGGACGTCGGCTAACTTAGTCGCCTCTTCCAGCTCGGAAGTCCTCTGTCTGAGTGCCTCACGCAGCGCGCGACACTCCTGGCTCCGTCTCTGTTGGTCATCGTTTGTTCGAAGTGCCTGAGTACTGATCTCTGCAATGATACGTAGCACATTCTGCTTCTCAGTTAGAAAGATCGTAGTGAGATGACGAGAAACGTACGGAAGAGTCCATGTCGGGTGATTACTCCGAGATGTATCGAGCAGTATGAACGTTTTTATTCCCAGACAAAGCACTAGCTACGGGGGGTGGCGGGACTGCATGTTATATATCCCGCGCAGCTGCAATTATTGTTTGTGGGTTTCAATGAGGGGTTTCACTTCCTTGCTCAATATAATTGAACGGCCAACTGGAAGTAGATTTTGAGGGGCAAAACAGTTCTGATGTCAGTGTTCGTCTTCCGAGAAGAAGAGCATGCATAAACAGCAAGTGTGCTGGTTAATCTAGCTGAGAATGGAAGGGCTCTGGGAGACATCAATACTTGATGTACGGAGATATGCTACGGATGAAGCAGAAGTTGCTAGCCAATTACCCGATGTCCCTGCTTCTCTGGTTCTGACACTGTTACAGTAGCATAGATTTACAAGCGGCCAAACTCCTCCACAAGAGAAGCGGGACAAGGAGCCACGCCAATAGGCTAGGAATGGTCGCCTCTTGGTATTGTTCCAGATTATGTTCCGGATTATTTGACCGTCTTCTGCTTTTACCCACTGTTCGACACTATCAGTCCCTTTCCTACAATCAACTGTTTCACCCTTCTCTTTGTAATATTTGCTTCAGACTGATGCTCTTTGTTGGTGGGTCACAGAATAACGTCTTATGTTCGCCCCTACTTAACCGGTCAAACAACAGCACTGATGGTCATCTCTCAATACTCACCGTCCACGGTTTATTCAAAGCGCGCATATACTTTTTTCTAATAGAGACCAGCTCATTGTACTCAGAAGCAAAAGAATTAGAGAATCCTAGTCATACACACCGCAATACTTTGCCCGTTTTGTTCTTCTTTCTTTCATATCATCGGATCCACTTGCTTCGTTCCCAACTAACATATACTTTAAAACGAATGTCATCCAAAGGCCTTTAATAGTTGGCTGGCGTTAAACCCGTACTTCAACTTAGGCCCCATCTTGAAAACATCTCTCCTGTACTTAAGAGATGGCCCGATCTAGCAATGAGAAACGCGCTCAGCGGCGCCAACAATGCCGGGAAGCCTTGGCAAACCATATCTGTACCGCTCCCCCACGTATGTTGGCAAAAGAAGTGAAATTAGCTGACCTACCAAGATGACCGACTAGGCTTAAGAATTCAACCCCAGGCGATTCGCTTGCAGCCGGCCCCAGAAGATGGGTATAGTTGGTCTGTCACAGACTGCAAGGCACTTTTAATGAAGACAAGCCTCAGCAACGGGACCGTGGGCCTTTACGACGCAATAGGCAAGGAGATCGGGCGGTCAATCGAAGCCGTGCGCCCATCTCGAGTGGCAGACGGAGTACTTGACTCTGATGTAGGCTGTTGCCATCAAATGTCCAAAATATGGAGAGGCTAATACAAGGAGATTGACTCAGTTGTCGTCGGACTTCGGTGAAGAGGACTCATTCACCGCGATCATCGAGCGTTTAAGGCGAGAAAACCACCAACTGCAGGGGGAAATCGGCCAGCTGCGAGATCAAATAGACAAGATCTCCCGGGCGGCGCAAGGCCGGGAAATGATAAACTGGCAGCTGGAGAAGGACGTCATAAGGGAGCGAAGCTTGATACATGAACTTAGGGAGGAACTAAGCAATGTCCGAAGCGGAGTTGGCAAAGCCGTCCGTCTCCTGTTGGAGCACCAAGATTGCCAGGCCAGTTACGAGGGATGTAGACCGACGCATGAGTCTAATAAGGATGTTTGTGCCCTTGAGGGCTCGCAAGGAACATAGTAGCTAGAAATCTATTTAGGTGTTATTAAACGCGGGGCGAAGGCCCCTGGTCTATATCCTCCTATGCCGTTTCAATATGCGCTTTCTATGCGGGCAGCTACAGGTACATATTCGCGGTCGTTTGAGCCGCTTTCATACTGCCTCTAGAAGTATAACCAGAGTTCCGTACATACTCATCGCAGGCTGGACGCATTCTCCTACAGCATTGACAACACTAGGCTCGGCACCTGTACAGCCAGATGCCTTTCGCGGAGAGAGTCCTTCCCAGACTTTCAGCGCACAGAGAACGAACTTATGGACAATCACAACGTTGAGCCTGCCAGAGGTGGCAGTAGCGTTCCCATCAAGCCAAGCGACTTTGGTACTCATGACTGAGACCTCTACAGAGGAGTACTGAATTGGGAGTTCAAAGCGTTCAGAGCGTTTCTCGCATGTCTTCAAGAGGAAAATACTGTAGATGCTATTTAGACTTTAGACAACTACTCCAATCGCTGCCCCTTATCTGTAGCTTACAGGTAATATTTCTGTCATTTAATTTGAATTCCAAGCAAGCAGGCAGTTCCCACGACCTTAGCCACATAAGGGCGGGACAGTGTAACAGGCTAACTTGATCTGGTGAGACATGTATGGACCAGAATTTATTTAAACCCGGTATGCCCGCCAGTGATTTGTTTATTATTCATTTGAACTACGTCTACTTTACAGGCACTGTAGAACCATGGATGAATGTCCACCTCTGCCAGTGMGCTGCAGCATCACAAACCTACCTCCTGAGATTATTCTGGGCATACTTTCCAAGCTGGCGGATTTAGAGAGCCTTTTATCAACAATACAGTCCTGTCGGTACCTCTACCAGGTTTTTAAAGACCAAAACGACGGAGGCAGAGCAGTCATCGAATCAATTTTCTCAAGGATATTGCTTCTTGAATCTGCGCCAGAAAAAATCTGCAATGCGATAACCTTTGCGCTTCACCACGAATATGTCCCTGATGCGGCAGCGAACTCCCTGTTTTGGCGGGGATGGGTCTTTTTCAAGGATCGGATCCCTGAAATGCCCGAATCGGACGTGTCGTGGGCATACACTGTGCTCTGTCTTTCGCAGAGAGATCAATGCTTGCTCACCTACATCGCGAATGGGAGGCGTCTTACGGAACGATCTACACCATCTGCGAAGCACTACAGACGTGACAGACACAGCGAGATTGAGAGAATAAAGCCCCCTTTTGACCGGGTATTTCTAGGGAGATTGTTCAAGAAATTAATGAGGATGGGAATGTAGAGGCCCCTATTGATAACGGTATGTTCTAATGTCAACAAGATGACGTGGACCTGACACAGTGACATGTGCCAGTGCTGATGAAGTGTCTCCAGGGGCAATGATGGAGCTTTCTGTGTAGTTTGTCGCCTGTACAAGTCTTGCGGTCTTCAGAAGCCTAGTGCCAACCTATTGCGAAGTATCAAAAATTAAGTTTAAGAAGTTCCAGTCAAGTTGCATGCAATATTGCCAGCAGAAACAGACTGAATCATTTCAGAAGCTCGTATATAGAGAACGCGAGGTCGTTCGGACTGATCTGCCTGGATAATGAGTGGCATCCTCAAAGATCGAACCTTGTCTTTGTTGGGTGGTGGTCGCTGCAAGGTCGATGAAAATCTACAATCAGTCATACATTGCGTGTTATTGAGAGCAAATATACTGCTATCCAAGAAGAGTGGGACATAGGGGGTCAGGCTTTCGGAACATAAATGTTGTACAAGTTCAGACTTGGATAGTTCAATACAGTGATGCATTGTACCAAGCCATGAAGGATGCTGCAGTCCACCTGAGGATCATTGAAAGACGAGGCGGGGCGGGCAATCGATGGCAGATCATCCTTATATTGGTGACGGATAAACTTCATATCTTCGCAAGATATTCTCACTGGAGGTTGTGACAGACTTTCCTGATGATGCCAGATGCGGGATAGTCGTTTTACCACTTTATCCGTTGTTAACTGGGCTGTACTGAAGCAGCAGTGCTGCATAAATTGCGGGATATGGAATAATTAAGTTCGTCTTTGGCTGAAAATGGCCGTTTGTAATTAATGCCCAGACTTGATCCGCCGCTCCTCTAGCCGGGCGCTCTGTTAAATCAACTCAGTACGCGTGACTGCCAGGGGAGATATCTTCGTATAAGTGAGAGGATATATTCCTGTACGAACACCACTAGGAGGGTGGCAGGTCACGATTCTCAAAATGCTACCTGCCAACTCGATGCGCGACAGTCGATATGCATTCTAATACGAGCCTCGTGCAAAGTTGGGGAAGTATTAGGAGAACTCTAGGCCTTGTTCTCCCTTCCAGGGAAGGCAATCAGCTTGAAATTTGGGTTCCTGTTGAGTGCAGTAGAGACAGCTAATCCGGAATAGAACCTTGAAATATCACTAAGACACTTCTTCCCAGACGAAGCCAGCCTTTTTCTGCCTCGAGCGGAGAGTTTTGACAGCATGACGCAGGTCAATAGCAATTGCTGTTACTGTATGAAGATTCAGACTGGATCTCCCGTATGTGACCTAACAAGCCGTTGGAGGATATATTGACATAAGGACAGGTACAAATGGTGTTGCACCAATTTGTTTCCAGCTCACCGCTGGCATAATATCCTACTCATGTTGAGCTTCCAGATGGTCTTCTCACATTGATGAACATGAAAAAATTCAGGTACACAGGGGCACAAATACTTCACATCACGTTCATCTTACTTCTTCTTTACAGCACATCCTTACCTTGCACACGCTCTAGCATGCCTGTGGAACTTCCTTGCTGAACCAGACTCGTTTGTTGTGCGGTATTGGTGGTGTTCAGATAGGCTGGAGAGCCATGATAGTATCCATAGTATTATCCTATTGTCTCCCAATCCAGCCTCCGATAATGCTACGGCAAAGGGGCACAAACCCCCGCCCCGTACTTTGAATACTAAAGCTTTCAGTATAGAAGACTGAGACGGAATTAACATGGCATTCGTCGGCGACGTGTTCTCCGTTTGTACTTTTACCAGGGTAACTTGTAGCAGCTGCCTGAAAAATGAAGCTGTCTCAATGAGCTACCTACACTAATCGCTCTACTATGGGAGCAAAAAGAATGACCCGATCAGACTGACCAGCCGATATCTTACAGGCTGAACTCGCTAAGTACTTAGTCCGGCTGTCCAGCATACTGACCAGCTGGCGGTGTCGACCAAGGCTTCGAGGCGAGCGGGATATGCCTGGACACCAGTAGCCAATCAGCGACCCTAAAACGGTGGATCCGTCAATCCCCCGTCGCTGATCGCCCACACTACTTAGGCGCAAAGGTGTGCTCATCGTCTCGTTGAACATGATGACATTGTGCTGACTGCTATATACCCAGAGACTGGTGATCCTATGTATAATCGGGATGGTGCCGTTTATAGTGTGTTGAGACGCTGAAAGACCGACGATTGCCAAAGAACCTTGCAATATCTCGGCCATCTGACCAGTGATTATTCAGGACAAAGGACCACGCCACGGCCTTTCCAAATAAACGAGTAGTTCCCTCCTACATTTGGCCGTGGATAGACCACTCAGCTTCAAACATGAACGAGCGACGTTTCTCTGGGTGATGTCCTGTCTGATAGCAAAACTGAGTGCATTAGAGCCCCAAAGATGGCATGGTCGCAAGGGTATACGGTCTGGTTAAATTGATTCTAGCAGTAACCTTGATCTTAAGATTGCCTTACAGTCTCCTAGGGTACGCCGTATTCCCGCGATAGATGGGTTCCCCGGCCAGATAAATATATATATGTTCTATTAATCACCGCTCTAATTGGGTGCCGCACCTTTTATATGAAAATGATTTTCTCGCCGTCCTGGCCTTTTCATGTTCTTGATCCCAGCTCTTTGACTCGTGTACCTTTGCAACGCCGCCCTCAATGGCTCACTCTGCCGAACCAGTGTTCTCTCCATGGGATACACTAAGTGTTTGTGGCATTACGCACCCCTCCCACCATCATACCTGCATCGGAACTGGCGGAAATGGATACTCGTGCAATAACCAGGTGCCTCGGAAATCGCGCAGAAATGCCCTGCACCAACTGGAGATACTTTCCGAGTGCTTACCTAACAGCTCGCTGGTACCCATGTTGCAATATGTTGCTGGGCTTCTTCTTTGTAAGAGGCGACACCAAAACCAGGCCGCAGCAATCAGTCAAACCTGGTACGGGCGCCTGATGCTCTTCAGTACACAGACTGGGACAGTCTTCCCACAGAGCTCCCTGTCACAATCATACAGAGACCAGCCAAACGCAACAATGCCCTCACATGTGGCTGATAGGGTGCAAGTGGTGGTTACCAGTCCTTCTAGGCCTCCATTTTCTCCCTGTTTGTCGTCCGTCGTCCACGAAGTTACCCCAACCATGATCCGAGAGAACCGCGTGTCATTCCATGTTTCAACTTCCCGGCTGGCTTCTGTGGCCATCTCTCAGCCGGAGAATGGTCGAGTTCATGCGGTGACGCTTCGCACGTTCCGTAAGGGCCGCCAGATCTCCGATGTAGATTGCAGTATCTGCCTGGAGCATGACTCTGATGATACGGCCTATCTTAATTGTGCAGAGTGTGCAGGCGAATTTCACTGGGGTTGCATGGAGAGCTGGATTCGTGGTGGACTCCAACTTTCCAACGTCACCTGCCCGTGTTGGTATGTTGTCATCCTGCTGGCTTGGGAATTTCTGTAACATATAATGTTAGCCGTGAGGAACGCCACTTTGATGGCTTCTATTGCACACCCTGTACTCCAGCTGCGGAAACATCGAACACTCCAACGCAGCGGATGGCCCAACACCAACCACTTGCGCAAAGTCCCGGGGACATCGGTTCGGCACAGCGGTCATCCGGTCCACTGCAGCAGGATTCTAATCGGCCTTGGGCGTACACCGCACATAACGGGAGCTCTCCGTCTCCGCGGGTCGCCCGACGTTCCGGTCGAACCACCCGGCGTCCCAACTTTTTCACTCCTAACGAGATTTGACCGTTGATACTGTGACTGGTATCCAGTATTCATCAAGGTCCGCCCTCGCCCTCAATTTCAGCCGCAACGTTACCGGTCATAATCCTATTATTCATGTGTCAAAGCAGGCAGCACCTGGTGCACGCGAGATGTGCTATTACATAACAATGGAGGGATATTTACCATGATTTCAACATTTCGGGCAACTGAGTAGGCAGCTTAGATCATCCAGCTTAGGCAGAGCGAACTGTCTAAGGTCTACGTCAAAAATGACTACTATCCATTAACAGACTTTTAAAGAAGTTGATGTTTATTGAGCTACTGGTCAAGCGAGTGGTGACTTATAATCCAGGCTTTGTTTCCCTAGGTAGGGTTTGCCTATCGCTCTTATGCGCGCTATAGCGCCCGTTCCCAAACGGATGGTGTAGCAAATTACTCGTCCACTAGGTGAAACCTCTCACCGTCTTTCCCCAAGGCTGCACCGTTTCTTTCCTGATTGCTTGCCGGTCTCGCTCCCGTTTCGTCCCCGGTTTTTTCACTAGGCTTCATTTAACCTACCCCGGTCTGGAGATCATCCAGCAGGTACATCAGGGCGCTACCATCACTCTAGATACAAGACGTAGCGCCAGGAAGCAGAAGAGGAGAGGACGAGCTTCCTCGCGTTCAGGGGAAACCTGAATAAGCTATGGGGGTCCGTCACACCGTATATCATCAACCCGTCGTATATGCATCATGTCCACCCGTGACATGGATTCTCGTCTTGTCCAGGCAATTGCTATAGCGCTTGTGGGTGATCGGGCGTATTCACTCGGGTACGAAAAATAATCTACTATTTACTATTCATACGATATTCAACCCGATATTGTGCACGGTTGGGCTTTCCTTGCTAGCGCGACAAATACTTACTGGAGTAGATCCAGTATAGATTGTCCAAAGCGAAGAAGAGCCCGATCATGGAAGGGCAGAACCACCCGGGATTGTTAAAGTGTCCGGAAATGTGGCTTACATCTCAACATTCAACTCCTATGCGCGACTACCAAATTCCAACTTTCCCCTGTCTTGGGATTTCAAGCCTTCTCAAGTTGAGAAATTCACAACGTCAAGTTTTGCCCAAACGGAAATCTCAGTGTTCTCGTCCCTCCATATCGTGGCTAGGTTTTCGACGGCGGGATAAACCGGTCATTATAGTTAAAATGCAAGGTTCCCAAGACTCCTTTGTTGACCACATTGAGTGCTAGGTATGCTCCTGCCAGGGTTTCTCCTAGGCGCAAGCACCACCTGGCAACTGGCCTTGATTTCACCGGCGCGGCCCGAACCTTCAAAAAATGCCCATCATCCGCACCAATGGCAAACGCTGCTTGCTTTCAGTCAATTCGCTCTGTTCGGGTTCGAACGTTGACTGGCCTTCACATCGGGGGACCGCAGGTAACAAATGGCCGTATATTCTATCCCGAGCATGGACAGCAAATAGAAACAGCCGGGGTAAGCCCGAGGGGAGGCTCCCGCCTGATGCTTCAATCATCACTGATTTCCTAGTCTTGGCACCAGGGAGGGAGGACTAGTCCATTTCGGGAAGTTGACCGGGATTTCAACTTTGGGTTTATCTCAGATCTCGAGCACGCTCGGAACAAGTATGGGGAGAGAGAGGATAGATATGCCCATCTAGCAACTTCTGCTCGTCCCATTACCTGATATTACGCAACAATGTAGCCTAATTACCTCAAGAGGAGTTGGCTTGTCCAAGCCCGTTGGTAGAAGGAAGATATACACTGGTCATATTCATAGCGACCAGTCTGTCGGACGCAAAAAGCGTTGATTAGGGGGAATTTTGTGAGAGAACTTTCTGATTGGTTATCCAAAGGACCAAAAGTGGAAGAGAATTGGAGTCTAGAATTCCAAACCCTTGAGGGCCATTCTCATTGGGTTTGGTCAGTCGCCTTCCCACAAGATGGCCAGCTTCTAGCATCTGGCTCTGATGGCAGAACTATCAAGCTCTGGGATCCCACCACTGGCGCCCTCAAGCAWACYCTKGAGGGCCATTCTCATTGGGTTTGGTCAGTCGCCTTCTCACAAGATGGTCAGCTTCTAGCATCTGGCTCCCATGACAGATCCATCAAGCTCTGCGATCCCACCCCTCTCAACGATCAGATGCTCAAACATCCAAATCACCCACTCGAAGGACTTGTATAGTAGATATAGCTTATTTCTTAATACCCGACAAAGTTCGCGTCAAGTGCTTAACAATTCAACAACGCAAACAACCGCGCTTGGCCCATCAATTGGGCATTTATTAACCTCTCCGAAGACGAAGTAATCAAAATGGTAGGCGGTCGCCAATTTGGTTGGCAGGCAAGCAGCCAGCCAACTTGGTTTCACCGTACTTTGGGTCAGCTGATAGTGCCTGTCCGGAGTTTCTGTGGGCCCGAGGTCAGTCTCCCTTGCGTCTTGGACACCAAACTCTTAGGCTAATCTTCAGTGCTTCTGTTTACCGGTTGTTTCCAACAAGGAGGGCTTTGCTCAGCTAATCGTCCAATATTTAGAGCCCTTTTATATCCATGCCTTTTCCAACTCTCTCTCCTGAGGATGTGATTGCAGGATGCACGAGAGTCATACGAACAGGGTTTGAAGGCGGTAAGATTGTCGTAGCTTACGGCAAACCTGCCCTGGGCGAGTTCGCATCTTGATATCCCAGGTCGGTATACACTATGAAGTTAATGATTGATACTAAAATCCGGTAGGCAGCGAGCTGGAGTGCCCATAACCCGATTCTCGCTGCCTGCGCAGTTGTCGGCACCACCGGGGCGACTATTGTGGCGGCTCCCGGCCTTGCAACAGCCCCAACGCTGTCGAGTATAGGCTTTACTATGAGCGGTATACAAGCAGTATGTGGAAACTCGACAATATGCTCCCTTCTTCCTGTGATACGACGCTTGAATAACATTTTGTGCTCGAGATACAGGGTCTACAGCCGCAGTCACCCATAGTTGGACAGGAAACATTGTAGCGGGGAGCGCGATGGCTATAGCACAGAGTGCTGGTGCAGGAGGAAACGGTTTGATCATTGTTAATGGAGTTGCACAGTTAGGAGGTGCCGCGATGACTTTGGGAAGTGCTGGCCTAGCTTGGTTCAAGGCTCGATTATGAACTCGGTATCAATCGATATTCCTTTCTTCAGCTAATTGCTCCAAGTAATCTTCCGTTATTTGAGGCCGTCTCCCCTGAAGAACAAGGAATTGGGTATCCCAGGTGAACAGGTTGTGAAACTAGTCAGTCATCCCGCTCTGGGGTCGTTCCATATAGTTACTGCAGCGGAGACCCAAATCACCTCGCGCACACAATGTCGTGCAATCTACCCAAGAGCAGTCAATCCTGCGTAGACTGAGTACGGGACAGTGTGAATATCCCTAGAAGCTAGCGGGTATACGAAAAAGCCGGGAAGGAATATTCATCTGTCGTCATCAAGCACCTTGGGGAAACCAAAAATGGGCACCACTGAAAGCCGCTGGTCAACTGCGCGTTTGAAGCAGAGGTTGGCGGGCAAACCCAGAATATGCGGAGTCAGCCAATGATGGCAACCCGTTTCAAAGATACCAGATTCCCACCGCTCTTTTTAGAAGGAGCAAAAGAAATAATGAGTTACAGTACAGTCAGATAATGTCAAGCTCTGGCCACGCCGGTGGCATATCAGGTGTTAATTTTGAAAGAGCGTCTCTTCTGCCTTGGGGTAACATAAATACTGGCATAATTGCTGTGTTCCTCTTTAAAATCAAACATCAGTTTTACGGACATCATCGAAGAGCTTCTCAAACAATGGTTTTTTTCTGTCTCGTCTCCTCCCTCCCAATGGTCTCAACCTCGAAGGCCAATTCTCCTGTCCCTATACCCACAAGTCACAGTACGAGAAATGTCTCTATTTCGGGTACAGCAACATCGCTGGCGCTGCAATCTGTAAACAGGGTAAAGGATTCCTCACCAAAGGCAAATAATACTACTCGCCTTGTAAGTTATTGTTTGTACTTGCTCTAGTTACAACATGCTCATTTATCCTGTGGTTCTCCATTTCCCCGCTCGCTCCTTCGAAGAACAAAGTAGTACTGTATCAATGGGGAGAATTTGATTTTTACATTCAAATAATGGAAGACGGCTCAGTGTGTACTTGGCGTCAGGGTAGCTACTGAAGGCGGAATGACAGGGATTTCTTCGGCTGTGTTCGTCACTGTCACTTTTCAATGATACAGTACGTAGTGCCTTTTGTAAAAGGTTTGTTCCTATCTTGATTCCGCGTTTTATCAGCCACTTCAATGCGGAAGTTTCCCCGTCCATATTTTTCGGCCATTTTACTCAGCAATCTGTCTGGGTCGATATAGCTTTCTCCACGGACATGGGTGGGCTCGTATTTGAAGTCTCTAGGCTCCATGGTATTTCTGCTTCTCAATTTTCGAAGTGAGAAGAGAAAAGAAGGGATCGAGAAACATGAGAGATGGACGGAGGATAGGATCTCTGATATAGTACAGAATTCTTCCTGTTGGCATGTGGCAGTATTTAGGGACTTCGTCTTACACCAGCCCAGATTGCGGTAGTGCACAGAGCCAATTATTGTATCCGTTCTTTCTGATACACGTATTATTATGACTAGCGTGTCCCAAAAAGCTGACATGCCAGGTCCTTGCCAGGATCAACATGAACGTAATTGCGGACCAAGAGGCTGATTTGATGTTCCACACAGAAGTATTCCCCACCTCGAACAGCCAGGAATCAGAAGATTGCACTGACGGGTCTTGATCTCTTGCCTTCCAGTGTTTATAGCACTGGAGGACAAGAAACACAAGATCCAGACCCTGAGAGAAGAGCAATATTTTTACCGTTCTAAGAAAAGCTTTTCTTCTGCATTGGATCACGCACTTTTCCATCCGCTCAAGTACCCAGAAGACCAGTCTCTTCGCGCCTCCCAGGTCGGTTTCATGCTGAACCAGGTTTAATGGCGTTGGTACTGTTCAGGATATAATAGATATTGGTTATGCAAAGTGGAAGCTTCTGTTGCCCCCCCCCCCCCCCCCCCCCCCCCCCCCCCCCCCCCCCCCCCCCCCCACCACCAGATGGGTCGAGATTTTGAGCCACCGCGTGGTTTCCGCTGCTTAAACGTGTATCAACCCTGGTTATAGTGACGCGAATGTACACCAATCATCTCCCCACCGTCCTATCTTCTATCTTCTATCTTCTACCTAGTTGAGTCCACATCAAATCGTCTTCGTTATTCTACAAAATCCGAAGCACGTTCAACCGTATTATAGAATTGCACTATTACTTCTACTTTCACACATCTAACGTCTAGCTCGAGAAGCTTCTCGGTTAAAGATGGATGTCGTTAGCTGCGGTAAGATCACCTCAGTAAGCCTACCAAATTGCTTTGCTGCGATCTGATAAAATTAGGCAATCCCTAGATTGCATATACCTAGGACATAACCCCCGTTCATGAATCCTGATATGACGACCGAATCCTCGAGCCCACTGCTGCATCTTTCTGAGAAAGCTGATGGTCGATCACGGATGGTCGTCCCAAGAGAAGATCGAACTCACAACCCTTCACCACATAAAATGTTGTTCTATAAACCGTTCTATCTTCCCATAGACTCCATTCCACATCCACGCTGCCTAATGGAGTGACCTCCCCCATTCCAGCGACCTGGAGGACGATCAATGGGTCACAGGAGGAGGCCTTCGTCTGTAATCTTTGGTGCACGCCCTCAGACATGATGTTAACATCGGTCTCAAAGTCTAGCACCAGTAATCGACGTATTTTCTTTCCTTCATTCTTAAAGATCAAAACGTCATAGACGAAGTTGGAGTATGCTGGGTCTAGTTGAGGGAGGGAGACCTGGGTATAATTTAAATTGAGTGAGGCGGTCCCTTCGTCGTTATGTGTGTGTGCAAAGGTCGGGTTAGTATGTGGTAATGCAGAGGAATGGAGTTGAGGCTGGATTGTCGGTTTGGGGATCGCTTGGATAGGCTCAACATGGGACTTCTCGCGACGAAGACAGCAGCCGAATACCATATGCCTAAGATCAGGGTGGACTGGTAACACCTAAAACACGGCCGAAGATAATAATATCAGCGAAGTGGACGGGATACAGACTGGCTGTGAAGGGCGAGATACAGATTTTCTCCGGGGTGGATTGTCTTCGATCATATCTTTGTTGGAGTTGCGAGATTTCTCTTTACTGCGTGGGACGAACATAGCCTAAAGTATATTAGGATCTGATCACCTTTATGCGACCATGATGGCAGTGAAGAGAGTACCCACCCTCCCAGGCCGCAGCATTTGAAGATTCAGGTGCCGCGTATATTAGATATGGATGTTCAAATGCCTAATACGGAGTGCTCCGGGCCCGGACATTTAAATGGCGGGTGAAGTTGTGCGTGCAGGCTGTGCCAGTCAGTGTGAAACGTTTGGAGAGGGGAAAGCTGCAATGTGCATATGAAGGGCCTAAATAGCTGCTCGCACCGTACCCCGTGATTGTCCCGTGGGCAAGCTGCATTGTGGAGACCGAGGAAGTGCTGGACCAGAAGAGCTGGCTGCTGAAGTTCTAGACCACGACAAAAGGACAAAGCTTTATCTGAGCATCTCTGTAGCTATCAACACCTGGAAGGGAAAAGGAAGGTCGAAAGATAGAGAATGACAGCCCATCCGGCGCAGATTTCACTTGTCCATTGTGGCTTCAGGTATGGGGCTCTTGTGCTACCTACAGCGTCCTTCTCTTCCTACGCAGTCTCATTAATGCGCTGAGAATGGTTAAGTTCTCGACCACCAGAGGGGAAAAAAGAAAAAGAAAAAAAAAAAAAAAAAAAAAAGGGAAAAGAAAAGGAAAATCATGATAAACCTAATCCGTGCCTCTCAGTGGCTATCTTCACCTGGAAAGGAAAAAGCAGAGAGGTTCGAAAGATAAAGAAAATGGGACCCGCCCAGTGCAATGCCATCTCATTCGCCCATCACCGATTCTAGCAGGGCTTATTGTGCTACAATACAGGGGCCTTTCAGTCTCATACTACGACTACCTCTTTAGACCACCGAGGACAGTTACTGGATCGCATCTGGGCAAGCAGTGGTCAGACTTCGGCCCACCAACATACCCCGATAACCACAGTAACGATATTTTTTGATGACCCCTAACTCTACGTTACATCGCACGTATCAGTTGGCCTAGTCTGCTATTGTGGACGCGACCGAGACATCCAGGTCTAGTACCACCAGGCAGACCATCAGCAAGTCCAGTCCAGACTATGGATGATTCTGATTGTCTCCTGGTAGAAAGCAGTAGATAGAGGCATTACAGCCAAAGTACCATAGGGCGCCGCATATTTGACTGGCAATCACCAAGGAACTACATCAACCATTATCTAGAGTGTAAGAACTGTATGTCAAGATACCAAAAGGACGCAACCATCCTAATGTGCAACTGGGCGATATGATGGAGACCGACAAAACGAGGGTGGGGGAAACGCGTCTAAATTGGGGAGACAGAAACGCCCAAGTGAAAACATAAGCCACGAGAACAACAACAAAATGTATCTGGGCGCCTTCGTGGCTACAGTTCAACGAATAGAAAGAAAAAGGAAGACAAACGTCGAAAAGCTAGAGGAAAGACGCCCCATCCGGCACAACGCCACCTCACCCTCCCATTACGGGTGCTACTAAGGGACGCCTGCACTATCCTACAAGCGTCATTCCCGGCCTTCTACTTTTTCATCCCTCACTATATCTCTCCATTATCAAGCGTCAATAAGTACATTTTGTTAGTTCGGCAGTTCTACTTAGAGACTCGAGGAACGGTAACATGTCTTTCTCTGTAGAATATCTTTACTCGGAGCTACTTGCACAATAACCGACATGATCATCCGATGCTTTTCTTTTCTGCCTGCCTATATTTGCAGCATCAACCTGCAGCACTATCTGGTCATCCAACTCTTTGGATATCGTATCCACCCGTCGATTCCGGTCAAAAATGTGAAAAACGTACTGTATCCTGCTGGATAGATGGAGGTCTTTACAGCTCTAGGGGAACAAAGCATCTCCGTAAGTTCACAATAGCTGACCAGACCAACTGACACATGCGCCGTAAATCAGGGGTCACATAGAAATACCGGCACTATGTACTAAAGAGGTATGTATGTTTCAGTGTCCAAAACCGACAACGGCTCGACCAGGTACGATCCAGTAACATTCCCGATGTTCTGAAGAGGCGGTCGTAGGATGAGAATGATGCCTTGTAGTGTCACACAAGAAGCCTGACTAGGGTCCATCATGGGCGAATAGGATGGTCTTGTGCCGGATGGCCTGGTTTTCTTTATCTTTCGACCTCTTTCTTCTTTACCTTTATAGGTGGTGATTGTCACCGAGGCACTCGGATAAGGGTTACAGTGGTTATCCATTACCTGAAACCTCACTTGGGCTTTCCTTGCCCGCCCCTTCATCCATAGCCCTCAAACCTCTTTTCCCAGATCCCACTGTCTCACCCAGTTGCCATTGGAAGCTCTGGAAACAATCTTCAGTAAAACACGACAGGGATTCACTTCATGGTAAGATAACTTATTGCGCGGAGATTCCCGGTCAAATATGACACTGTACATACACCAAGCCGTGTAACAGAGGACGTGTCAAAGTGGGCGGCGAAGAGGCTTAGGCGAAAAGGGCATCTATGGGTGGTGATGATCCGAGCCGAATACCACCACAAAAGGCCAACCCTCTGAGGTTGATTCGTTTGCTTTGCGAGCACCTAAGCAGAGCTTGGAGCCGTAGACATACTTTTGTTGGCATTTTGGTTGCTGAATCCCAGCAATGCTAGGCCGAATTGCACAAAAGAGCCTGCAAGAACAGCAGCCGGGAACCCTTGGAGCACTCCTGGGAACGTGCAGAATAATTCTAGGCTTACCACTGCTCCGACGATACTGAAACTTCTTCGCGGGAAGTTCTCTACCTTCCGGTAATTTGGCATTTCGAGAATACCTTACAGGTGAATCAGCCCGGATGGCCCAAAAGACGTTACATATAAGTAGTCACGACTTTCTTTTTACAATTCATATCCACGAATCAAATGAAACCCACGAATAGCTGCAACAACTTCCGGAGGTCTGATCAGCAGAACAGCTAGCTACTAGCTGAACGAAGGATACATACGCGCTTGTATGTACACTGTCTGACTGGTATACCACTGGAGGTCTGAAGACTTAATATCCCAAAGGAAACGATGCATCGTGACCTTCCAGATGCGACACTCTTATGTATTGCCGAGAATCTCAGGTATGCCTGCGACATCTTATCCTCTGCCCAGGCTACTAAGGAGACATGTGGCCTGTTGCTTCTCTATGCAGTATGTTACGGATCAACAACAGTGGTCGACGGCCTCCTTGCCCGCGACCAAACAGATGTCAATTTTCAGAACGAAAGAGGACAATGTGCCTTATGGTGTGCAGCATTTAGCGGGCATACACGGATTGTTAAACAGTTGCTGCAACGCGACGATGTTCAGGTCAACGCCGCCGATCATGAGCATGGCGTTACTCCCCTGGGCGTTGCCGTAGTGAAGGGACATGAACGAATCATGCAGCATTTGTTGAATTCTCGCCGAGTGGATGTCAATGCACGGGACCGATTGAGGCGGACCCCCATTTTTTATGCCATTTCCCGGGACGACCGGAGGATGTTGGAAGTGCTTCTTGCAGAGAAAGACCTCGATCTGTCCTGCCAGGACGTGAACGGCTTTTCACCGCTCATATACAGCATATCCTTGCGCCGAGCGGGCCTAACAAAGATGCTTTTAGGTCACCCAAGACCCCATGTCGATCTGCGAGATTGTGCAGATCGAACGGCCCTTTGGCATGCCGTGCGAGAGGAAAATGAAGACATCGTTCAACTTCTTCTAAAAAATGGAGCAGGTACCAGAGTGAAGCATGTCGGCAGTGACGCGCAACCGCCATTGTGTCTGGCCGCCAGTCGCGGGAGACGCGGGATGGTGCAGCTGTTGCTTGAACACGGCTGGGACGTGAACGAGGTGGATGCAGACGGGCGAACACCATTGCTTCTGGCGACTGAGAAAGGCTACCTTTCAGTGGTCCGGGTCCTTTTGAACCACCCGCAAATCAATCTGCGCCCGCAGAACCGGTGGGGATCAACGGCCTTGCATGTAGCTGCCAAGCGAGGGCACTTGCCGATAACCAATCTGCTTCTGGCTCGGCCAAATACAGACATCAACATTGAGGATGGGAAAGGGGCCACCCCGCTCTGGTGGGCCACTCGACGCCGTCATAATCGAGTGGCCGAGCGACTATTGGAGGAACCGAATCCGGCTGTCAACGCCGTCAGCCAGTTCGAGACTCCGGACCCGGATCGATCTACATCCCTCCATCATGCAGTCCAAGGGCGATCAATGCCGATCATTCGCAAGCTTTTAGCAGTGAGGACCCTCAATCCCAATGTCCCCGACCACCTGAAACGGACTCCACTGGGCTGGGCAGCCAGCGAAGGGGATGTAGAGATGGTGCGGTTGCTGCTCAGTCGGCCAGATGTCTCAGTGAATGCAGAAGAGGCAGATGAACAACCACCGCTTTGGTTAGCTGCAGCGAGGGGCCATATCCGGGTAGTCCGTCTCTTGCTACAGCGTCGTCCAGACATTGACATCAACCAAGGATGGGGTGCCTATCTGCCACCACTCCTGGCTGCCATCATCAACGGTCATTCGAGCGTAGCGATGCTGCTACTTGCGTTCGGGAAGCGATTGGACGTCAACGCCCAAACCTACCAGAACAAATCCGCACTGTCTCTGGCGGCGCGCCAGGGAGACCTAGAAGTGGTCGAAAGTCTCCTGCGTGACTGGCGCACCGACTGTAACAGTGTCGACAATAGAGGACGCACTGCATTATGGTGGGCGGCCTATGCAGGAAAGACAGCCATTGTGGAACGGTTGCTGACGGATGATCGTGTCCTGAGCGATGTGGCGGATGAAGAGGGGACAAAGGCCCTGGATGCTGCAGCGACCCAGAATCATTCTGACATTGTCAGTCTCTTACAGGCTCACCTGCCAAGGCGTCACCAGCATAGCGATGCCTCTCGCCGCCCTAACCAATCCTCATCAATGATTCTGACAACGACCATGACATTGCAGCCGTACAGACTTTGATTGCTGCATTGCTGTCCCAGGCATTAGTCAATGGACATCTGAATTTAGTGCCCGGGCTAAAGACACCACTCTCTCCAGCCGATCTTCCTCTCCAACACCTGTCGGACTTTGCTGTGTGAATTGTGGGTCTGACATGTGGGGAATCATGCATCATTTTCCGCGGTTATCTCAGCTAACACTAAGTAATCATTCCTGCGCCCCATCTACACTACAGCTACCAACATCCAGCCTTCCTATTGAGCATATATTTCTTGAATGAATATGACCTTGGTTCACAAGCAATGTGTGTGGTGATCATGAGCTGCAAAGGTCTGGCGAGCTTCCGATATCTTCACCCTCTTTGTGGCCAAGAGCGTTGTATAGCCCGAAAACTCCCCAATCCTTAAGGTATAATATGAAGCTCTGCTTCTTCACATAGATCATCTGGCAGAACTGCTTGTGCAGGATCATGAGTACGGCATATCCTACGATGAAACCCCCGAATTTGGATTTTATATAGCCTTCCCTCCTCTTCAAAGGCCGCGTGCGGATTGTAGCGCCCTATCCGTGCAGGGCTCTTTACCACCGTCACTTCGTTCACTAGCAATCCAGCACTGCAGGTCAGTTAAACCCGTAGATATGCTGCTCTGTGTAGCCCCCATACTCCAGCCATCTAGCTGTAGTAACGGAAGATGCCCTGCTTCGGATGATCTCCGCGGATATGGTTAAGACCTGGCTAAAGTGAAAGCAATATGGGGCACGGCAAAGTCACTTGAAAAATCTTGGGGACTCTCGATCTTTGCTCCGGCTACCTGATGTGTAGAGCCCTTGGGATTCGATCCAGTCTGCCACTGCATCAGGCCGTGTAGACAGAGGTTGATATCGTAGAGAGCGGCGACGAGGCAACCAGCCAAATTGTGAAAGGACGCAAGATGGCAAGGGGGCTACCGGGAAATAAACGCACAAGCGAGGTTCGGGAGTATCTGCAATCAGGCAGGTGGCAGCCTCGAACACTCCGTCAGGCTTGCTTGCCAAGGACCAGGCATCGCTCTCACATGCCAGCGAAAAGTATTGATCTCCAGACTTAAAGGAACCAGGCGAGGCGCCAAAGCGGAAATGGGCGTCTGCTGTAGGTTATTTGCTTTACGCAGACTCTTGTTGGTTTGATTTGTACCCTGAGTACCGTGTCTATTATCTTGGTTAACAAAGTTTCCCTAGGTGTTCAGGGCCCTTCGCTCTGACTTGGTTCAGGAAACTGGCAGTGTGAGCAAGGGCAATGCAGAGGTTGACCAGGCGTGTGCTTGGCCATTAAGCCTACCTACCATGAACTACACGAGATGCCTCTGATTCAGTATTACTTCGGAATGGCGCAACTCAGGTCTGCCAACATTACTATCCATCTGTATGCGTACACGAGATAGAAAGATGATCGGTGTTTAACTGGAGCGCGAAGCCATAGCCGGAAGAAATGTGGCTCCTGCCCTAGCTATAGCACTGACGGTGATATATATAGAGACTTATCATGCAGAAAAGCATAGCAAACAGTTGGGGGAGATCAGTCAAAAGCAAAAAAGAAGACTGACGCATCCTGGCTTCAAGGAGCCGGACGGCATAGGTGTGCCCTCGGATCCTCGCAATGTGTACGGGCCCCTGACCACGGTCGTCGTTTACCATTTCCACCCGGCAGTCGCGCAAGAATGCTATAATCATCTGCACATCACCTACCTCTGCTGCCAACCAAAGGGCTGTCCGGCCCCGTGGATCAGTTCGGTTGGGATCCAGGCCCGGACGTTCGAGGAGCAGTTCCGTTAATGCAAGGTCTCCGTCTTTGGTAGCATGGTGTAGAGGTGTTGACCCGCTCGGACCTGCCACATTCACGTCGACGTCCTCTAGTAACAATCTCTGGACTACTTCTCTGCGTCCGTAGTAGGATGCCAGCCATAGCGGCGTGCGATTGAACTCGTCTCTCAAGTCAACTTGCGCTGCATCTGCACAGAGCAACAGATTGACTATCGATAGGTGCCCGCCTCCGGCGGCGTTGTGAAGGGCCGTGGACATCCATTTATCCGTCGCATTTACGTCGACATCGAAGTTCCTCAGCAAGCAACGCGCAACCTCTTCGAGGCCAACCGCTGCTGCATAATGAAGCGGGGTGCGCCCACGGTGGTCGCGGCAGGTAGGGTCAATCCGATCATCTGAGAGCAGCAACAGAGCAACTTCTCCATGTCCGGCCTCTGTGGCGCGATGTAAAGGCGTCCGACCGTCGACGTCCGGGACGCTCACGTCGGTGCGGCTGTCAGCAAGGAGAAGGCGGACAATCTGGATGTGGTTCCGAGCAGCCGCAATTGCTAGAGGTGTCTGTTGCTCACCCGCATCCTGTGTATTGACTTCCACGTCGTCTCGGCGAAGGAGTAGCTCTGCAACATCAGAGCTGTTGTGCGCTGCCGCATACCATAGTGCAGACATGCCCTGTGGGTTCCCGTTGGCGTTTGTCCCTGGCAACGACAAGATGTGGCGGGCAACGACATAAGAGCCCCGAATAGCTGCGCAGTTCAATGGTGTGACTCCTTTATGAACAGCATTGATATCCGCGCGGGCAACAGAGATTAGAAGTCTCATGACACCAAGATGCCCATTGCCCGCGGCCCAGCATAAGGCAGACGCTGCCTCTTGATCATCAAGAAGAATTTCGGACTGTATATCCGTTCCTCCATATACGCTTAAAGCAGTCGCAGAGGTCTTTTCGGTCTTAACATAGTCGAGGTCGGTGGGGGTTTCGACGAGCATTGGCTGTTCTAGTGGTTGAATCTACCAGAGCGTTAATATTCGCTGAGCGGACTAGGCGGCAAGGCGTAGTGACTGGAACAACAACATACCATGATGTTGACTTCAGGGCAAGAATGACGGAAGCGACTTTGATAATGGCTACCGCATGATGGATTTCTATGACTGAGCATGGAGAGTAGACCCTATCTTATAGTATTGCATCGCTTGAAATCAAGACACTGCAGCAACGTACTATGCGCAGCCAGACCCAAGTTTAGCATTAGATGTTGAGCACTCTGGAGGAGTGGCATGGGTCCCCGGAGCCTGTAACGTCCGTAGATCGCATCCAATCTATCCTGGGAACTAGCCCGATGCTCTTATGAGTCCGCGAGGTCCCGCAACGAACATAGTAGCTAGGAATCTACTCAGGAKTTATAACCCTACAGATATGTGGTCCTTCCTGACAAACTTGGAGCCTCGTCACGGCCTGTGGTGGCCTGTATGCTTTACCCGCAAAGGTGTCATTACCGTGTCATTGAACATGACCATATTATCGTACGGTGATGGGTCACTACTCGTCTTGGGCGGAGTGAGTCCTTAATCACGATTTGCCTACTTGTCCATCGGCGACTGCAATTTCTAAACAGCCGCCCGGCTTCACTCAGAAACCTTGTCCTGCGATATACCCGGAGACTGGCGGGCCTATGTGGAATGGAGATGGTGCCGTTGGGAGTCGCCGTTGAAGCGTTGAAGACGGTGTAGAATACAAAAGGGACTGAATAACCGAATATTGCCCAAAAGAACCTTGCAAATGAGGCGGGCCCTAAGAGCAGCTGGTTGGCGACAGGTCTGATTCACCTAGCATCCAGTGCAGTCAGGAACCAGCAACCCACTGGGTAAAGGGACGACTCCCATTAACCGTTAGTAGAAATGGCGAGAATAAGCAGGTGATGTCCAGATGGCCAGACCGGCCCGGCCGTGTTCCCCATATAGGGTCCATTCAACAGACTGAACAGCAACGGCCCAGTCCCTTCACATTCTGTTGGAGCGCCGATTGCTGCCCTCCGCGATAGTACGTAGGCTTTTTGACCAGAGGCAAATCGACTCATTATTAGGAGGGCAATGTGGTTTTGTCGATAAGCTAGGGTTGGTCAAGGGGAGGTGGGGTGATTCTTTTGCCCACAACTGACAGATAAGGTTCAGTTATCCACCTCTTAGTTGACCAGGCAAAAATGCCCGAGGATTCGGCGCAGCGGCCATTGAGCAAAGTTTGACCTGGGCGAAGGGGACATCAAGATTTTAAAACTAGTGCCCAAGGTGTCACCTGCAAATAGGCATTATTATAGAAAGTGGTTTTTGGCTGGTTGACCAGCAGTAGAGCAAGGTACAAACCTTGCAATTTCCAGCCAGTCCAAGATCACCGCAGCAACTTGACACCGACCCTACCATGCTATGGACACCAAGGCCATTACCTTTTTTGTCATAGTAGGTAAGCGAAACCTCAGGTCACGTGGGTGGACATATATTTCGCCTAGCCTTTCCCATGACTTCTATCATCCAGAAGGCGCCTTACGTTCTTAACCAAGTACAGGCGCCGATATCTTGCGAGATTGGCAGTTGTCAGTTGGCAGTTGACGTAAACAGCGTCATTCGTCCATATCAGATGTTGCAGTAATATCATTTTTTTCGAGAGAGACTGCAAATATAAGGGGGAAACCGCTGGAGTGCGATTGAAGGCTCAGTAACTGCATGCTGCGTATTTGAATAGTCTGAGTTGAGTCCGGATACGTAAATTGTTCTTGGTGCTGGAAAGGAGAAGAAAAAAGAATATATTTAACTGCCCTAGAGACTCAAATACGAGAAGCATTCCCTCAGATAGAAACCGTTGAACTTAATTCCCATCCCGGCTTTCGACAATGAAAAACAAGAGCATCAATGTCATTGACATCTCTGCGGGAGACAAAGCCTTCTTGGGAACAGAACGCGTCAGCAGCATCGATATATGGCATGCCATTTGTTGGTCTCCAATGTGACTCTCTTGACTGAGACTTATTCACATTCCAAGGCAAGCAAAATGTCATACCCGCGAATTTCATACCAACAGTAACAGAGTCCAGACAGTCGCCCGAAGGAAACAGGTCAAATACCTTGACGAGGATACTGTCTCCAACCATTGTGTTGGGGTCAAGCTCTTTGGTACAATCATAGGGGCACTGCCTCAGAGTATCCTTATCGAGGATATCAGTGAGCCTCACCAAAGCTCTCGCTCTGATACTCATGTCGTTCTGACGGTTTTGGTATTTCTTTCTCTGCCTAGCGAGCCGTTTAGCGCGCCTTTGGCTGTTAGACGTCGGTGGTAATCCCACAACCCAGGCCTCTAGTTGAGGAAGTTCCTGGCCTTGATAGCAGTTATAGTAGGCTTCCGGATTCAGAATCCGTTCCCTCAATTGTGAGGTGTCGGGACCGATCATGAAGATTTGGCACTTATCGCACTGCCACGGCTGAAATAGTCTCATTGTCGGGTCAACGTCTCTCAAAGGATGCAGATAGTTTCGGTAGACTAAAGCCGATGGTTTGATTTTGAAGGCCGCGTGCAACGCCGCAACGCTTGATGCTGATAAAGCATCCATGATAATGGTGGCGACACCGTAATATCCGTCGTGTATGAGTATCGTCCGAAGCCACGATTCTGCCATTCTCTCACAGCGGCAAAGAGAGGTGACGTGGTCGGACAATATGATTTGTGTGTGGAGAAGATGGAGACGACGGAGAGGATGGAGCGAAGAATATCTCGCTCTCACATGGATAGATACTGTACCTCACAGCGTTGTGAAAAAGACTTCAGTTTACTCCAGCAGAGGAAGAGGACATATCTTAAATCTTCGAGAGAAATGCATGTCACACGGAGCGACAGGCAGCGATGGTCAAGATTAATACGGACTCTAGGTGCTGTCGCCAGCCCATCTCAAGCTCCTGGGACCCTCAGTCTCCTTCGTGAGAGCCCTATGTAGGTTCTTGCTCCGAATGTGATCCTGGGCGACAGGTCATTATCGTATTAGCTCTCATGTTGCCGTAAAGGAGGTAAACATACTGCCGTGTGTATCGTCTACTGGGATTCTCGACAATGATGAGAAGCCGAATGTCACCGCAGAAAACATTTACCCAGAGATCAATCCGGAATGGCCAAGCGAGCTGAGCTTCATGGAGCGTTTCGTGCACTCCTGAGCGAGCCAGACGTACCACTGCTCCTACGATACCGAAACTCTTTCTTGGGAAGCTCAGTACCATGCGTTAATTCAGTGTAATGAAGAGCTTCTATTAGTTAATTGCCCGGGATAAAGGAACAGTTATAAATAGTCAGAACTGTCCAGCTCAGCTTATATTGATACCCTGACTTTTAACCTACGACAAGGCGAAAGAACCCTCCGGAGGTCGGCAACAGAACAGCTACCGGCTAGCCAAAGGATACCCATGCTCCTAAGGTTTACTGCCTGACGAGTCTTCTGATTAGATTTACAGATCAGATATCCAGGAAATTGGAAACCAGCCATGTCACTCCCAAATGTCCCAACCAGCCTGCGACTCGAGGCAGACTCACAAACTTACATGCATTGCGAAAGTTCGGCCGGTGCTCCCGATCGGATGCCATGGGATGGTACCTTACGCTGGCCTCCTTAGTTTTCTGAAAGTGGTTATTGTATTAACCCTGATGAAGCAATAACACGGCTTTCACCGTACCACCGACCTCTTGTTGACAGCGAGTGCCAGATTCGGGGGCGGCAACATACTTGTTTCGTACATGGCCATGGTATTCTTTGCGACCACTGGTTCTAAGTTACATCGCTGCATGATCGGGTATTATGACACTCATGGAAGATGCTGGATTATATTGCATCGACTCAGATACCCCACCAGCGGCCGAAAACCCACTGACATCTAGGGTTGATACAACTGCCCAGCCAGAGCAATTCCAAGTAAACAAAGTGGTCAGCCAGCTGGGTGTACAATGGAGAGCCCGTCAGTCATGGTCCCCGAAACTGTGGAAGGGATTGGCATACCTCTCCCGTAATGGTTTTCTCCAGTGTCAGTTTGGAAATTGCCCCAGACTTTTGTTGGCATACGTAAGATGACTTGCGAAACCGGCTCTTGGACCGGCACGATTGTGCGCAACCTGCAAGTTGAAGGGATATGGCCGTTGATGTTGCGGCAGAGGTTGAGGATGTATCTAGACGAAGACTGGAGGCCAGTCACTATCATAATTAAAGGTCTTCAATTCTTGCTAGGCATAAAAAGTTTGAACGTCGGGTCTTTCAACGGGAACGGCGAATGAGGCCAGGAGACAGAGAACTCCCGCCATTCGCACTGGATGCCTACAGTCGACGCAAATCCTACTGGGATGGACCGGATGACGGCGGTATAAACCAGATGTCCTGTAGACATGCGTAAGAGGCTGGTGTAGGCCATCCGGTAGATAGAGCTTAACACCAAATGAGACATGATTACTTAGGTTGTAGCCACGTCAATGTTGCCCTACTACTGTACGCTGGGAGGGAGACGACGCATCAATCACTTCCGTTTGGCCAACGAATTCATCTGGGAAGGCGGCTGCGGAGTTCGGTGCGCATTCTGACCGGCTGTTGCAGGCCAGATTACTCTACGGTGTGTCTCCTATGGCTTGCGGGATATTCCGCGCCTTTAAGACATCGCAGACGCGTCCCTGCAATTTCCGTTGTACATAGATATCAGAGCAAGTCAGGGCACTATGCGGAATAGAGAAGAACCTGACAAAACGCATCTCTCATATTTCACCATCGTGCTCAGCTGCATCTATGTGGATTTGGCAACTTTGTGGGATTACGTTCTCTTTCGGTCAGGCCTCAGATAATTGTCAAAGCTGCGTCACTAATCGTCCCAATTGTCTGCAGTCGCCCATAATGGCCTTACCCTTCGAATTGACCCTGCACTGTCCGAGGCGCGTTCTAGTGACACTTTGGACATTGCGTTCGTGCATGAGGTTCCCCTTGGGTAACTCTGATAAAGGTGCAAGGAGGTTCTGCAACGTCGCGGACGGCTAATAAATCCCACGAGCGGCAGGGCGGTTCAGTATCGTGGAGCACCCTGTTTTGTAGAAAGAATTGGATCATAAAGCGAAATAGACGGTAAATAATGCCGAGTGTTGGCTAGACTCTGGTTTATACTGGCAATGACGGGTACTCCGGCTTGTTGAAGCCATATGCAACTTCTTATAATTTTAGGGGTAGCCATGCTTTTCTTGAGAGCAGCCGATAGGGTCTCTGGAACCGACTCTTTCCAGGAGAAAATGGCCGGGTTCTCAAGACAGATTCTTTCCTTCCCGGAAATAGGTCAGTCGCTCCCAAGAACTCCGGACCTCCTATAAACCAGGCATGCACTCGCAGGAATCCGGCATCATCTCACAGGAAACCCAGTATGCTGGAGGAATCATGGTTTTTTTCGTCATTTGCATACATACTCCAGCAGCACAGTGTTTCAGACAATGAAAGTCGTCAGTGACTGATAAGTATAAAGAGCTATCAGTGCTGATGACCGGACACACAAAGGATATGGTTGGCTACGCAGGTCTTCAGCTTACAGAGATAGTCTCTCGCAGAATCAAAGGTATATACTACGTCCAGTATACACGACATTTCCGTGGTCTTCTTGTCCTCTGGGCTTACTGTTTAGATGAACCTTGTGACTCTTCCGAGCGAGTTGCTCTTGTGCATCGCTGCGAGCCTACCCAGCGCGAAAGATATTCTGTCTTTCGTCCTGGTCAGCCGAACTACATCTAACCTGTTGCTTTCTTCTCTTTACAAATTCAATATCCAGCATCAAAACAGCTCGGCATTGCATCGGGCCGCACAGAAAGGAAATTTACATGTGGCGGAGGTTATGCTCCACCAGTACCGGCCTGATGTCAACGCCATCCATGACGCAAACACGCCGCTTGTGTATGCGGCAATCCACGGGTCAGAGTCAATAGTCAAGGCCCTTCTTGCCAAGCCTCAAACTTTAGTCAACTTCCAAAACGAACAAGGGCAATGTGCCTTGTGGTGGGCAGCACGGCAGGGATTCACCAAAATAGTTAAGGATCTATTGCAGTGTCCCGATATCCAAGTGGACCTCCCTGAGACAGAATATGGCCTCACCCCACTGGCCGCGGCCGTGGAAAAGGGGCGTGCAACCATCGTCAAGCGGCTGATCCAAACCGGCCGAGCAGATGTCAACGCGCCAGACCGATTGGCCTGGACACCGATTTTTCACGCCATCGATCGCCAAGATTCGACTATTCTCAAAATCTTGCTTGCGGACGACAGACTCGACCTGTCCTGGCAGGATGACCTTGGCCGCACAATCCTCATCTACAGCGTGTCAAAGGGCCTAACAGCCCTGACGAAGATGCTCTTGGGCCACCCAAAGCCGTATGTGGACAATCGAGATCGACATGGCCGGACGGCACTGTTCCACGCAGTGCACCAAGGCAACGGAGACCTCGTGCAACTGCTCCTCGACAATGGCTCGGATATCAGTGCCACAGACGTAGAAGGCCTGAGCCCGCTCCACTTGGCAATTAGGCAGGAGAACTTGTCCACAGTGCAGAAGTTATTGACTCATTCACGTCGTGATCCTTCGACGCTATGGCCTGGAGCGACCCATGGCATCCACACCGCACCACCGCCATTATGCCTGGCCACCAGTCAGGGGAGTGAAGATATCGTGCGGCTGTTGCTCGATCACGGCTGGAACGTGAACGAAGTGGACGCAGAAGGCCAAACACCATTGCATTTGGCTGCCGAAATTGGAGATCATACAATCGTCCGGGTCTTTTTGGATCACACGCAGGTCGATTTGCATGCCCAGGACCGGTCGGGATCGACAGCATTGCACAATGCCGCCAATCGAGGGCACTTGGCTGTAGTCAAGCTGCTTCTGGCTGAGCCGAGCATTGACATCAACGCCAAGGATGGAAACGGAGCGACCGCGCTCTGGTGGGCCACACGACGCAACAATACACGTGTGGCCGCACGGCTGCTGGCCGAACCGAACGTGGACATCAACGCCGTTGGCCAATTCGAGCGACCGCTCCCGGATCGATCGACTTCCCTCCATCATGCTGTCCGGGGACGAGCAAACTTGATCATCCGCCTGCTTTTAAGGGAGAAGAGCCTCGATCCCAATGTCGTCGACCATCAGGGCTGGACTCCGCTCGCCTGTGCAGCCCGCCAGGGCGATGTCAAGACGGTGGAATGGCTGCTCGCGCGACCAGATATTCAAGGGAATGCAAGCAAACAAAACGAACAATCACCGCTGTGGTTAGCTGCAAGGCACGGCCATATCCGAGTGGTTCAACGGCTCCTAGAGTTCCAAAATATTGACATTAACCAAGGATGGGGTGGGTATCTGTCACCACTGTTGGCTGCCATCGTTGCAGGCCACACGGATGTGGTCATGCGGCTGCTCGCCTGCGGGGACCGACTGGACATTAACGCGCAAACCTACCAAAAGGAATCCGCACTGTCTTTAGCCGCCCGCTACGGGCACCTGCAGGTGGTCGACGCCATCCTGCGCGACCCTCGCACGGACCGAAACAGCATTGACGATCAAGGGCGCACCGCTCTGTGGTGGGCCGCCTATGAAGGGCAGACGACGGTTGTGGGACGGTTACTCGAGGATACCGATGTCCAAGTCGGCATCAAGGATCACCAGGGAGCGGGCGCTCTAGAGGCCGCGCGGAGTCAACATCATTTTGGTGTCACAGGTCTCCTGGGGCCTTACCCAGTGGGTCATCGCCGCGACAACATTCTCCGAACCTGATCTATCCAGCCGGTGATTCCTCGTACGAACCAGCGCTCTCAGGTCACTTTGGCTGGAACCAGCGACTTCATCGGGATTACTCTCGAATGCCGGGATCAAGGTGGAGCCAGCCCCTGCAGAGATAGTTGTGCATTGGCCATCAAGGGTCGGGAAGGAATGCAGCATATCGTCCAAGAGGTTATATGTAAAAGCAGGCAATGCGAACAGTATGCCATTCAGCATAGGGAAAGGACACGCGTTCAGGTGGCTTGAAAAGCCGCCATGATACTTATTGGGTCCTCGATCAGCATACGTTTCCTCTAGTTCATACGTTTCCTCTAGTTCACACAATGAAAAGAACTGTAACCACCTAGTCTTGGTTCACCGTCTTCTGTTTATGACGAATTGAATATCGAGTCCCCCGGGCCGGACGTGGAAGTCACAGCCTGCCATGGCAAGTGATGATATGCCAAGCCGGGCCGAATTCTTTGACTGAAGGCATGAGGCGTGCTGTGTCACTTTGACAGAAAGGATACGGCACGGATCACGGCGGTGGACTAAGGATCCTACAACAAGTTTAGAGAATGTGAGTATATGGGGTGCTCTTCAAAGAAAGCCCTACTCGTCGTTCTAATACTTGTCGTCTAGCTGGTTAAGAAGTGTCGCAACGTGCCGCAGGCAGAAAGTCGGTCGAATGCAGCAGAGGCCGCTAACGAAATTTGGGCTTGCCGGTATACGATCGACACCATGGTACTGGGGGTGTGAGGGGTGGCAATAACGGATCGCTGAAACAAACAAGACAGGACAGAGAGACGGTGGACGGTTAGCTGTACCAAGCGTACGGGCGCGGGTAGAGGGGTTTGGGGGGGGTTGGGGAGGGGGTCCCGAACAACTCGGGAGAGTAAAGACAGGTCAAAGGAAATTATAAACATACAAAACAGCTGCGGCATCTTGTAACTGGAACAACTGACAGAGTACACTTTGGCCTGTTCAACTTTGAATGGTGTTTTCCGTGCGGGCTCCGTCGTGAGGACTGCAGAAATATCAGGAATCGTCAAAAACGCCGTTTCGTCAATGAGTGCGACTACCATGTGCCCGACCACCGACCAACAAAGAATGCATGTAAGACGCGATCCGCAGTCGCACCAAATGCCGCTGCAACACGCTTAGCAAGTTGATGTCATATAAAGCAATTGGCACGGCTTTTTATTGGCCCTACATTTCCACGCTCGCAAGAGATTCATGTTGGTTGTCAAATAGAGTTCGAGGGCTGGGAAGGGCATTCAAGGGTGCAGGGGTGAGGCAATTAGCGAGTGGCCAGGTCGGAACTAGGGTGTCATGAGAAGAAGCTCTGATGTCTTGACGGACACGGCTCGACGGGCTATGCTTACTGTAACAAGCATCTGAAAAGCGGAAGGCAATCTGAAGTCTTCCATGTCATTAATTAACCGAAGAGCACTGCCTCCCTGGTTTATGGCCCGAAAAAGTAAAACAAAGTTTTAAAATTTAACATGCTTACTGGTCCAATGGACAGAAAACATCAATCAAGAGCATAGAGCAGTAAGCACCCACCGCCCTTCACCAACGCGCCGGATGATCCCTTCCTTGACGGCCCAGTCCCTTAGGGCAATATCCTCTGCCTCTTCAAGAGAAGTCTCGTCACCCTTGAAATGCCGTCCAACATGGTCCATCCGGTCCTTCCAACTGTCCGGACCACAGAATTTCTGCCCGCAAAATCCACAGGAGCTTTGTTGTGGCGGCTTGCGTTGCTCCTGCCAGCAGCGGGCGCAGACATACTTAAGCCTGGCCTCAAAATCTTGCTGTTCCTGATCGGTGGCATCGGGGCCGGGAGCATGCATCCGGCGCTGATGTTGGGTGAAGAGATCCTTGCGGTTGAAGTCGTTGGGTTGGTGGCCGGGTTGGTCGTGGTGGTTGTGGGTGGAAGTTGAGGAGTTTTTGTAGTCGGGTCTGTGACCGCAGTTGCCGACGTCGCAACGGAAGAAGCCGAGTTGGAGGTGTTTGGAGGCAATGTGTCGTTTCCATTCGTTCTTGGAGGCAAAGGTGCTTGTGCAACCGTAGTGTGAGAAGCTACAGACGAAGATGTGGCCCTCGGTCGTTGACTTGGCGGGTTGTTGTTCCGAGACAGACGACGCAGTAGTGTGTGGCTGGAACTGAGTCTTCAAATGCAATTCGAACGTGAAGACCCTTCTGCTGTATTGGTTTGGACCTGCGCGGGTGGGAGTAACCCCCCGAAGGGAGTTTGGGGCGGACGATCATCACCACTTTGTATGACCGGCTCTGGAATACTCCTGATGGCACTGAAGCAAGTGATAGCCTTTTGCAATTGGACCTGGACTTCCTCCCATGGTAGGTGTATCTGTTCATCGAACGATCGATGTACGCACTCTCGCTCCTCAGGCTTCCGTACAAGGCAAGGACGCTGTAGGGTAGCACAAGAGGCCCATAGATGATTCCACAATGGGCGGTAGTGCGCTGGATTGGCTGGCCTTCTTCATTTTCTTCACCTTCATTTTGTTTTTCAGATGTTGATAGTTACAAAGACTTAGGTAAGTTTTGCCCGTGGTTCGTGGTCTTGAACTTCAGAAGCGAAGCTCTTCTGACCCATCACGTTTCCCCCAGTCTCCACAATGCAGCTTTGCCCACGGCGTGTAGGTAGTTCTTTACATGTCACATTACGGACTTTTTGTCTTCAGGCCAATAGTTTGGGATTTTCGTCCGGCATCTAGACGGCAACCAAGTCACGTCTAGAGTGGTTTAGATGCAGAGAAATATTGCGTAGGGGAAAAATCGAGAAGCCAGCAAAAATTCCGGGCTAGATGATCACTATTCCCGTGTATAAGGACGTGACTTGCCATACAGACTCCAGCAGCTCTGACCTGTGGCACAGTTGCCCTTGTTCGAGTGATCTGCGCGGATGTTGGAGCCCGGTCAATGAGAGAGAGCGATGTGGAACAAGTGGGATTTATTCCTTTGTCTACTGCTTTCTGCCATTTTCCGTTGATGACCTGCATTAGGGCACTAGCCTCTTCATGATGTAGATCATGGAACTGGCTAGGGATTCATGTCCTTTATTTTTTGGATGATCACGGAATAAAAGGTTAGAAACCCCCGATTCTATATTGGCCATCACCCGCTTGATGCTTCAACTGGGCCAACTTGGTACCATATTCACCTCTTGGCAAATGACGATCCACTGATGATGTGCGATAGTCATCTGCATCAGTCTTGGGGTAACTAGCTATCAGCAGGAGATATGAAGTGGGTATGTGCAACACTCCTCGAGGTATGAAATCTTAACCACCATGAATATAATAGTATGAGATGAATTGGATGCAACCACGGTCAGAAGCAGAAGCCATCCTGCTACCAATCCCGACACCGGCCGGCACCATCAGGAAAGAAACTGCTGAAGACCGTAGGTATTTTCCAAGGGCGGCTAGTCCGGACCCGTTGAAATTGACCGACAGGTAAAGTCTCTCTAGGCGCTAATAACGACGGAGTTCCAGCATAATAGTTGTCTTATGGCTGTTCAGTAACTATATAACCCACGTAGAGCCACACTGCTCTCATAGAGTTCCCTCAGACGCGGCAAGGCGCAAGGCACCATGAAGTTGGAGACGATTATCCTTTGCATACTTTCTGCGGCAGTTGGCCCAGTAAGCGGTTTCTGCCTCTGTCACTGGCAGAGTATCTATAGCTTGCTGACCTTTTCTCCAGATGGGCTTTGCCAGAGGCGCCTCTCTTGTATATGACGCTAACATTGACAAACCGGTAAGTCATTTCACCCTCTCTCTCAAATACGTTGAGCGATATCTGACAGCAAAGGTGTTGAACACTACTACCTTCCCAGCGGCACACCACGGTTATGATAAAGTTCTTCCTTCGAGAGCGTCTGTAAGTACTGTAACTACCATTTGAATGACGCCTACACTAATGAGTACACGCCTTCAGGATGCTGAGCCCACTTGCTCCTTTGATTATGGGTTAGCCCTTGTGAATGACACAGTCGCCAACATTGGCCATCTCTCCGATGTTGCCAATTCCACGTGCAGCGTGCCGGCAGCTACTTGTGCGCGTATATCTCACAAAGGGGCCTCGTCCATTTTCTTCTGCAACTTTGTACGTTACAATCACCGGCAAGATCATATTCACCTTCCTGACATGAGCTTACAGGAGAGCCATCCCATTGACACAAAGTGCGGAGATCTTATTGAACCCGCCGAGCAGATCTCCGACGCTTGCCGCATGGGAAACCGCTATACTTATGGCTATGTCTCCAGGAGCATAGTGGACGGGTCCCAAAGCTACCCGTATCTCGTGGCTATCGGTGACGACTACGCGTTCGAGCTCTAGCGAAAGTCAAAAATATGGTTTTATGTTTGACGAGGGGCCTTATGTTTGACGAGGGGTCTTATGTCGGTTAACACGAAGCTCAAGAAAAATGGATTTACGCTCCAAGATTGGCAGGGCATGAGTGTCGGAAACATTATTGTCATGTTCATTTCTGCGGTATGTATGAGCGCGTAGAAATATTATCCATTTAGGGTTTATGGGGAAGTGTATTTAATTCGCACGACCAGCCGCATCGCGACTCGTCATTGTGAATGTACTATTGCGTGCACCATTGATGGGTGCGTGTATCATTCATCCAGTATTGGTCCCCTTTTCTCCTAGGGACAGAACGGAACGGAAGAACTGGGGAGGTCAGATATGATTCGTCAAATAGGCCGAACAGTGTCCCCCTTCAGATCTCCATGCTGCGGCACGTTTGGAGATAAGCTGCTGCGGCGGCATTAGAATGACCAACGGTGGATGATGAACTTAATACTCGATTGGGAGGTAACAAGAGGGTGTAGAGAAGTGGGGCAGGGGGGAGAAAAGTCTTCAATGCTCCAACATAGCAAGTGCTGACATGGAAGAGTATTGGCCTCAATTTCTTCTCCTGGCAGATTCCCGACGCAATCACAATGGTGCAAGTCCAATTAAGAGCTCAGAAACTCATCTGACACCAAGGAGCCAGCAGAACTTCGCGGCACATTTGGATCTAACGGAAGAAGTTTGTGGATCCGTACGTTAAACGCTAAGGAAAGAACTACTGCAAGCGCTCCAGAGCTTAGATTAAGATACATTCCACTAACTTCTCCAGCAGAAACCCGCGCATCAGTCGCCCTCGCCCATGCTCTTGATGGCTGGTTTACGAATCATCGGAGAAATGGGATACCTCCGGATTGGGGGTTCGTCGTGGACGAAGCTCTTTGATTTGATCTCTCCTCATGATGGGCTCGTGGCCAATGCAGGTCACTTCTGTAAGACGTTTGCGAGACCACCGGTAAACAGATCGGTGCACTAGAAATATTAATACAAATATCACAGCTCCACCAGCGGCAGCCCCTACCGACATGCCCAAGCTTTGCTTCGGTATAGTGTATTCTCTTTGGAGATGATCAAATACTGGATCGCTGTGACTAAACGTTGCTCTAAAGGATTCCACAGACGTCGGGATTCCACTCGAACTGTCTATGATTATTGTCGACGTCAGTGAAGGGTCTGCAGACGTTGTCACACCCCAGACAGTAACTGTAGCTGGGGGACTTTCATCAGGTTTGGCTGGAAAAGGCGAAAAGATATGAGAGCTGACAGACCCCTGCGGTTCAAGGATGGCTCGAGAGATGGATGAGGCTACATTGCTACCGAGGTGGGTAAGCGAATCCCCTTCCCTGCCATCGGAGTAGTTGGTCGTTGTGCGGCTGGCAGAATTTCCTTGCTTTTGGGCCATATCCGCTAACTGTTCGCCGGTATGGTATAGATGCACTTTGATCGATGATACTAAATCGCTAAGCGGCTCGGTAGATGCCCGAGTCATGAGTATTAAATTTGGCTGGCTTGATGGAGACGTTACTGCCGCCTCAGGCAGGCTCAACGCTGCGATTGTCGAGTATTCCCATAATGGTAAGTCCGTTCTCTGTGCGTTGAAAGCCTGGGAAGGACTTTGTCCGCGAAGGGCATCTGGCTGTACAGGTGTCGAGTCTAGATGTTCCTGCCCAAGTTTACTTCTGCCTTCAGACAAAAGACTGACAACATTCTGTCCAGGTGCTGGTAATGTCTCTGCTACAGGTGTGGAGTTGTTCGTGGGGCGTTGGTCTAGAGGTTTCATCCTCATGTCGGTGGGGGAATTCGAGATTGTTGAAGGCGCGACATTTGAGGCTGAGACAGCAATCCCCTCCCGTGAACCTGTACAGCTCAAGTCAAAACTTGAAAGGCCGCAGGCTGGCCCTGTAGGACTTGATAGGATTGAAAGGGACTTGTGACCTCCTGCGTGGGATTTCGTAGCGAAGATGCTACGGCATTGGCATTTTGCTAGAGTCGACGCGCGACCACCAGCGAAGCTTGGACTGATAGTGATCGTACTGGATCTCCCACACGAAAGTGATTCACAGCTCAAGAGATCGGAGCGGAAGACTGGTGGAGGGCCGGTCGCTTTATGTGAATCACCATCTCCTTCTGCCTGCTTGGAAGCTTGTGATGCCGATTTCTCCATGCTATGGGTGATCGACCCAATAGTCGCGGCAACTCACATCGAGTATTGACTGTTCTCTGCTTGGCCCATAGATATCAATGAAGCTGAAGCTGTCTCACTGGTCCTGCGCTGGAGCTGCACAGATGATGAAAATGGGGTTGACAGAACAGGTGAAAAGAATCGTTTTGCAGGAGCCTCCTGCTGTCGTTGGTCACGGTAATCTTTGGTTATTGACAGCTCTATTCGCGGTCCATCAGCTTTTTTGCCTCCAGTGATACAGTCTCACCCAACACGTTGGAAGCATGTACCGAGGTATCCTTGTATTATCTGTTGGGCAAGCCTTCATATAACGATTCGGTAAGCAGAGGATAGCGAGTATGAAAGGCTTGAAGCGCCTAGCTACCACAGTGGAATATTGAAACAATGGCACTTGCCCAATGAACTTGATTGAGCGAGTCTCCTGAAGGAAGCTAGTTACTTTTCAATTGATCGCGGTCCAAGCAACAGGGACACCACAACGGAAGAAGTTGCTTTTCCAAAAATTTCCAGCTAGACTTTTAAATCCCCTTGAATATTGAGGTGCGCATAGCAAGCTACACTTGACCAGTCTAAAGAATGACCTTTAACTGCAGTCAGTGAAACTAGGATGGGATTCTGATTTTGGAAGGGAGCAGGACATCTCGGAGCTAAAACGTTGGTTGATTTTTGGGGGAAAGTGGTTCGGTAGAGGCCTAAAAATGAATTTGTAGGTAAGGAGAGGAAGTGTAGAAATCCCACGGCGGTTTACTATGGTCTACTCCTCCCAATGCGCCCGCATTAAGCGACCCCTAGTACGAGTGTCCCATCTTATTGCTTAAAATACAACCCGACCATGATACGTCCATAGTACTGAACAGGTTGACCTATCCTGGCAGACTTATTGTTTAAACTCTTCAACAATCAATATTAGCGATATGCCCAGCCATCAAAATGGTCACTTAGTACACGTTCGGAATATGTAGGCCGGACACCCTCACCGTACCAGTACATCAGCACTATATCAGTCTTACAGATCCCACGTGTAGAGTAGTCTGTTTCCTTTACGCAAGAGTATTTTCGTATCCTCCATCCACGATGCTCTCGTTTCTGAAGATTGGCCCCTTGATTCTTTCCACTGCGGCACTAGTCTGTCTTGTCGTCGTCTTTTGCGGCTGCACATCGCCGTCTTCTCCGCAAGAGTTATTCTTTTTAAAAGGTAAACCTTACAGTACACTCCATCTGGTGTTGCATGTATGGCTTACGATCAGTTTGCGGAAGGTGGATTTGAGCGGGTTCCCTACTGGGAAACATCCAAGTCTAGTTCGGTCACTCAACATCCCCAGCACAGATCTACCTGGGTCTTTTGAAACAGGCAGTCTCGGCAACATTGTTTCGAGTTCCGCCGAAGACGCGATGGACCGCGTGGGTGACCATGCCAATGACCTGACTRAACACCTGAAGTCACTCCTCCCSGATTAYTACGCGGTTGGTCTCTGGAGYTACTGTGAGGGAGAGCAAAACSGCAAATCCTTCTCGAAGTGCTCCAAACCGAGCGCCTCCTTCTCATTTGACCTGGGACAAATCCTTCGTGCCCAGTTGGGACAGGCTGATGGAATGCTCTCCGAGTTGGCCCAGCCCATCCTAAGAGGGTACCATAAAGTTTCACATTGGGTCGTGTTTGCGTACCTTGCCGGATTCATTGCCACATTTTCTACGATGGTCATAGCGTTGATACGCTTCCCAATGGCAAGAATCGTCATCCTCATGTCCTCGACGGCAGGTGGCGCCCGTAAACATTTCAGGAACCATGCTAACTGCGTCTAGGCTTCGTCTCTCCTATTACTAGGAGCATCTGTAACCGTGACGGTGATATATCAGTTGCTTGCCCGTGGAATTGATCAATTTCTTCAAAACGTGGGAGTCAGTGTCAGTGTGGGTTCTCATACTCTGGCTGCCACTTGGCTGGCAGTGGCCTTTTCGGTTGGCTCTAGTTTGTTCTGGGCTATCGAAATATGTTGCTGCTGCATCTGATTCACGCAGCCTTTCACTTATAGTCAAGAGCAAGACATCAATCACCCTGGCAGGAAGCTGGAATTGACAGGACAAAGGAATTGATAGATAACTATTGTGGTCCATGTTAGAACCACCGGCATTGAGAATCACATATTTGGGCAAATAGTTGTAGGAGCGAGGTAGTGTCAATAACACTGTCCACCATTGGAAGTCGATTCTGTAGCATCACCTGCTTCTCCTTGCCTTTTCTCCCAATTTCCCATCCGATATCCGACGTCAAGCAAAGTCCAATGGCGTCACTGCCCGCTGGTCGAAAGAGCATATGCAACCAAAATCGTCGGTAGGCCAATCTGAGACCACAGTCAACTCATGCAATATTTTGAGCGCAATATAGTACGTACAAAGTATTACGATCGTACAGGCACAGAGAAAGCACCGTATATCTAGCGCTGCGCCGCCTTCGGTGGATACTTCTTCATTAGGGATGCAAAATTGGAAGCTGTTCATTGATTCTCTACGTACGTGTCCAATAACAAGTCGCAACACAACAGGATAACCGTCTAAGGCCCACCAGGAGCTTTACTGCCAAAGGAACCAAACAAAAGAGAACAGAACGGCAACTCCCAAAAGAGCGGCTGTACCCAAGTCCTGTTTTCCTGCACCTGTAAACAAAGTTGAATTGATCCGTTGAGTCTCGGTGGGCGTGGGAATCAATGAGCTAAATTGAGATGATGTTATATTCAATCCAGAGTTCACTTTCCCAAGGCTGGCGCTGGGGATGCGAGCGGTACTGGACGTGGAAGCG